ACCATTCTGAAGATTGGAGAGCTCTTCCGGGACCTGCCCAAGGTACATCCAGTCCCACAGCCTCAGTGTCACATCCCTCACCTGTGCCTGTCCCATGGCATGGTGATATGGTGGGGGAACAGCAACGAGATTTGCCCTCAGCTTCCTCATAGCTGCAGAGATTTCTCTCCTAGGCCATCTTAGCTGCCATCATCATTGTCAACCTCAAGGGCATGTTCAAGCAGTTCAAAGACCTCAGCACTCTCTGGAAGTCCAACAAGGTGGACCTGGTAAGGTGATGGCCAGACCTGGGGCTGTGCTCTTGTTCCTGGAGAGGATTTATCCACCCTCCCCAAGGCTTGTGGGTGCCAGTGGAGAGGCTGTGCTGCAGCTGACTGTGTCCCCTCTCCAGCTGGTCTGGGTTGTGACATTCATAGCCACCCTCCTGCTGAACTTGGACATCGGCCTGGCGGCCTCGGTGGCATTTGGGCTGCTCACGGTCATCTTCCGTACCCAGCTGTGAGTACCGTGGGCTGGCATGGTGTCACATCCCAAGGGCAGGAGGAGCCTGTGGTGACCTCAGCCCCTTGCTCTCCTCCCTGCAGCCCCCACTACTCCATCCTGGGGCGCATCTCCGACACCGACGTCTACAGGGATGTGATGCAATACGAGATGGTAACAGCACCAGCAATGGGGGAAGAGCTGCCTGCAGTGGGGGGCAGTTCAAAGCATCTCCAGTGCTCACTGGAAAAAGGGGCTGGGGGCTTTTTGGTGGGGGGGAAGGGAGGGGAACAGGTGGCCCCGGGGTAGCACCCTCCTCGTCTGCCCCCAGGCACAGGAGGTCCCTGGTGTGAAGATCTTCCGCTCTTCCTCCACCATCTATTTTGCCAACGTGGAGCTGTATGCCGAGGCCCTGAAGAAAAAGGTAGGAGAGCCACCAGCCTCAGAGTGCTTCCTATGTCTCCTGCCTGCCAGCAGCAGGGTGGTGTTGGGGCAGCTGGGGACACAGGGCCACATTGCTTTGCAGAGCGGCATTGATGTGGACCGCCTGATTGAGAAGAAGAAGAAGGCCCTCAAGAAGCTGAAGAAACAGCAGAAGAAACTGAAGAAGGAAAAGGCAAAGAGGAAAAAGGTGTTTCCTTGATGCTGGAGACCACCCCTCCAGTGATATCCTGCACCTCTTCCCTCCCTAGCTCTGACACTTCTGTCAGTGCACTGGTGGGGCTTGGTGGCCCACATGGTTCCCAGTTCAATTTAGGGAATGGGTGAGGAGGGCACTGGGACTGAGCTGAGTCACACCACCCAAAGCTGGTAGGAAAGCTGGGCTGTTAATGATTATGTGTTGGAGCTGCCTAGTCATTAACCTTTTGCAAGTTAATCAGAATTAAAAGCAAGGGCAAAGTCTGGCTTGGTGCCAGCTAATGAGCCCTGCTCTGCAGAGCAGTGCTGGGGAGAGGGGTGGGTTTGGACACATCTGAAAAGAGCCCAAAAGTTGGTGAAGATGTGAGAGGGGGACCCACTCCTGGGGCCACCCACTGCCTGTGCCCTCATACAGCCAAAGAGCCTCACCAAGGTAAGCCCTGGGGAGCACTGCCATGGCAGGGTGCTGCCATCCCTGGAGCAGTGACCGGGTCTCCTTCCCTTCCCCAGAATGCAGAGGATGGTCCAGGCCTGGCAGTGATTGAGTTGAGTGCAGGAGAGAGCAGTGCACCCTCAGAGCCCACACTGCACAGCCTAGGGCTGCCCCAGCCCAGCTTCCACGCTGTCATCTTGGACTTCAGCCCCGTCAGCTTCGTGGACACCGTCTCCATCAAGATCCTGAAGAATGTAAGGGGCTGGGCAGCAGGCAGGACAGCAGCCTTGCTGATGGTGTCTCTGGGACCCTGCGGGGTGTCCTGATGGCTGCTGCCCATTCCTCTTCCTGGGTAAAATGTTTTTTCCCATTTGCAGATCTTCAGGGATTTCCATGAGATAGAAGTGGATGTCTTCATTGCCTGCTGCCCGGGTGAGGGGGATCTGCAGAGTCATGAGCCCCGGCCGGGCATGGCCAGCCCTTTGGCACGCAGCTGATAGCCTGGGGGTCCCCCCATGTGCTCCCACCCCCAGGGTTTCCCCAGGGGATGGGTGCTGCACGTTGTCCCATGGATCCAATCTGAGCCTCGAAGCTGGGTCCCTGGTGGTGGCTCTGGTGTCCCCCACAACACAGGAGGCGGGAGGAGGCTGCTCCGGGTGGGTGCCGGGTGCTCAGCTAGGTGCCATCACTTTAGATACTTATCCCTCCACACAGTATCTGTCCTGGCCCAGCTGGAGCGGGGCAACTTCTTCAGTTCAACCATCACCAAGCACTCCTTCTTCCCCTCGGTGCACGACGCTGTGTTGCACATCAGCAGGGAGCGGCACCAGGCCCCGGTGAGCACCCGGCCTGGCTGAGCACCCGGCCTGGCTGAGCACACAGCCTTTCTGCCCCCAGCATGGTGATGGAGAGGGCAGTCACACCAAGCCCTCCCTATCTGCCCCCTCAGGTGGAACACAGCACCAGAATGTAGCCCCTCAAGCGGAAGACATCTCCCCCAGGAGTCAGGCAGGCAAGGAAGGCTTTGCCACCCTGATGGCACCAACTCGCCCACCCTGGGCCCCAGATGCCCTGACCCCCACCAGCCCCTCCGGACTCTGGGTGCTGGGGCCCTGCCCTGTCCATGAGCCCTGCTGTGATGGGGCTGCTGCAGGACAGAGCAGCTGCTGGCTGTCACAGCGAGGGGCTGCATGGCTGTCACAGCGAGGGGCTGCCTGGCTGTCACACCGAGGGGCTGCCTGCTGCCTCCACACTGCCCCAGCACGAGCCTGCCCCACCAGGCCAGGACTGGTTTGGCGGGTAGTGGAGGGACCGAAGGGTTCCTGCTCCCAGCAGCGGGCTGGCATCATGAATAAAGCTCCATGGTGTTCCCCAGGGTTGGTTTCAGTGCCCTTTCCTCAATAATGGTACTTTTGGCCCAGACTACCCCACTGCACTCCGGTGTTGCTGGGAATGGCCTCCCTGCAGGTGGGCTCTCCAGCACCCTCCCTCTGGCTCTTTTGTGCCACTTCTGGCCATGACCTGCTCTGGGCAGCAATATGGGCAGCGATCCCCATCCTCAGAAGAGTGACAGAACCCTCTCTGCCTGACTGGAGAGCCACCAGCACCTGCTACAGTACAGTGCTGCATTGCATTGTACCATTTTCTCAGTGTATCAGTGGCATTTCTGTCTATTAGTGTGCTGCCTAAATTTTCTAGCATTTGATGCCACTTCCATATTGTCATTTTAATACCTTCTTTCAGATTAAAGGATTATACAATCTTTACATTTTGAAAATCCCTGTTAGGAAACACTATGTCACAGTAGTCATCAGTCCCCTTTTTTTTAATTTTTTTTTTTTTGCCTAGTTTGTACTTTTCATAGACTCATTGAAAATTTCCGATAATGTCAGTAAGAATACTGTCATTTGTTATACCACTTACCAGGGTTGATGCTGACACATATTGCTTCATTCTGTATCTGACCTAATGGCCATTTTTTGTGATCTGCAATTTGCTATGATTAGATAAAAGCTGGCATACAGTGCCAACTCACAACTTGTGTGTGAGGGCTTTGATGGGCTCCTTTCTGAGACTGCCATGCACTGGACTTTCACATTTACAATCACTTCACCTTCCATAGGCCGTTTCAGTATTTAATACTCTTTCTTGGAATGTAAGCAATAGACCAGAAAGCACCAAATTCCCTGCAAGCACCGTCTTCCCAAAGGGCCATTAAAAAAGATTGTTTTTCTCCTCTGACTCATCTGCCAGTATTTGGATGGAGCATTGAATCCCTTAAGTGAACGTCTTAGAAGGGATCTCATCACAGGCAGTATCTCAGATTTTCCTGAAAAACTTGCTCTTTTGGATTGTAATTCTATTCCGAGCACATTTGTTTTTCACCAAAGCCACTCAACAATGCCTCTTTTCTTATGAAATGAGACTGAAATGTGCATCACAAGTATGGATCCCCACTAAAGGTTATAGTGGTAATTATAAGAATGGTGGCTCCCTCCTATAGTTACATATGTAAATGAATTGTTTTTCCAAACCTAAATAATCCAGGCCTTTGAATACAAAAGGAACTCTTTGTTTTTTGCAAGAATTACTTCTTGGAGGACTTATGTTAATTTTGATTTTTAAGGTGTTAGCCCTGTTGCTGTTTTCACTGCTGCATAAGAATCAAAAAAAGACTGTATGCTCCTGTGCTGTCATTCCTCCCTGTGAGAATGCCCAGGATGCCCATTCTCTTGGATCCCTATTCCTGGAATGCTCATTCCACGGTGTCGTAGTTGGGACGGTCACAACACAAAGCAACGTTCCATTTTCAGAAGGCTTCCAACCTGGTTTTATTATAGCATGCATGGTTTTTATACATTCTTACATAACTCCTAAGTTACACTTTACTCATTGGTCAGGAAAGACAAACAAAGTGCTTATTGGAATAGGCAGTTGCAGTTTTCATTTATCCTTCTTTCTTTCTTGGTTTCTTTGTCAATGACCTTGGTAGAAAATTCTTTCAGGGGTTAACATGGATCCTCTCATCAAACTTCTCAATCGCTCACAGAAGTCGCAGTAAAACCTCTTCCACACCGTGGGACCCACATGTCCCAGGATCTCCATTTCCAGGACCTTCATCCTCTGGGACCCCCATTCCCATGACACTCATGCCCAGGATCCCCATCCCCGGGATCCCCATTCCCGTGACCCCCATCCCCGTGACCCCATCCCCGTGACCCCATTCCCGTGACCCCATTCCCGTTGACCCCATCCCTTGTGACCCTCATTCCCGTGACCCCCATCCCCGAGACCCCCATTCCCGTGACCCTCATTCCCGTGACCCCCATTCCCGTGACCCCCATTCCCGTGATCCCCATTCCCGGCATCCCCATTCCCATCCCCGCCTGCCCCGTCCGCGCCCTCCCGCCACCAGGGGGCGTGGCCGCCTGCCCGCCCGGTCTGCGCGCTCTCAGCTCCTCCGCCCGCGCCGCCCCGGGCCCGCCCCTGCGCAGGCGCGCAGCGCTCGGGCCGTCGGTCTGCGGAAGAAGAAGATGGCGGCGCGCTCAGTGTGCCGGGCGGGCAGCGCGGCCGGGCGGGCGCTGCTGTGGGGCCCGCGCCCCTCCGTGAGTCACCGCGCCCCGCGGGGACAGCGCGGGGGGGAGCCCGGCCGGGTCGCGGGCGGCCCCGCAGTGCGCAGTGGCTGTCGGGCCCCGCCTGTGCCCGGGCGGGAAGGTCATGGGGACGCGGCGGGCGGTGCGGGCCGAGCCGCGGCGGCTGTGGGAGCCCCCGGGCCCCGCAGCGGGGCCGGGCGGGCGGGGAGCAGCGGCGGCTGTCACTGTCACCCAGTGCGGGGCTTGCCACGGAGCCGCTGTCCGCTCTCTGCCCCGGTGCTGGGGTGCGACCGGTTCGTGCGGCTTTTCCCTTGGCGTTTCCCACCTCTTCAAACCTCTGCGTTCCCGGCCCTGCCGAGGGGAGCAGTCTGTTAGCAGTGATGACAGCATTTATTTTTACAGGCAGCTTTATTGACTTTGACGAGGAAGCGAGGTGCTGCTACCTATGCCCAGACACTCCAGAATATCCCTGAGACCCAGGTCACCACCCTGGACAACGGCCTCCGTGTAGCCTCAGAGGAGTCCAATCAGCCAACCTGCACGGTAAATTTAACATAACTCAGGCCTTATTGGAAACAATCAGTCTTGCCTAGCCTCCAGCTGGTCTTCCAAAAGGGACAGACCTCTGTCTGAGCCAGTGCTTTTGACAGAGACCCCGCTGCTTCTCTTTGTGAACAGGTGGGATTAATATAGCAGCAGGAGGGCCAGACTGGTGTTGTATTGTCTTTAGACAAGTTTTTATGCTCTACAAATTTGCTCAGCCTTACAGTTTTTGTATGAGCAGTAAGTGAGCAGTAAAAGTTATCTCTCTGGCAAAACCAGATGTGGTGAAGCTGAGAGAGAAAAGGCCAAAATATGCGCAGGGAACAGTTGCTAGTTTGTCCTTATTTTGGTTCTTGTAGCGTAATGTCAGTGGACCAGACTTCTTGTCCCTGCTGTTGTGTTTGTGTCAGTAGGATGCTGGTTGTTTTCTTCTCTGATGTTGGTGCTCGTGGTTTTCTGCCAGGTGGGTTTGTGGATCGAGGCTGGGAGCCGCTATGAGGAGCCGCAGACCAACGGGGCTGCCTTCTTCGTGGAACACATGGCCTTGAAGGTGAGGGTGTGTGCTAGGTCTGCACAGAGCTGCCCTGAGTATTCTGTCCGTACAATGGCCTCTCATTTTGGAGGCTGTGCCTGTTGAAAGAGGGTGTAAATCAGTCATCTGTGTCCTAGAGTCTTTGCACACAGTGTAAAAATAAGTCTAAAAAAGCATCTAGCCTATGTGGTACTTATTGCTTGAATGTGCAGCAACTTGCAAGCATCGTTGAATTAAAAATAACTCTTATTTACTATTTGCTGATTTGTCCTCTTAAAGGAAAAAAGTGTGGCACGCATAGAGCACTGTGTTATGAAGCATCTTTTCTTAGGTTAGCACAGACAGTTCAAAGTAGCATTTCCTGTTGCTATTTATTTTATTTTCCTTTTCTTGCTGGTCCAGCAAAGTTCAGAGGCTACAGTTCTTACTTTTCAAATTATGCAGATGTCTTCTGAACAGGGCAGAAGACATCTAAGCCTGGGACTTGCTGGCTCAAGTTCAGCCTGTGCCTTCATAGGCAACTACAGCATCTGGCTGGCTCCTTAAGGGATGTATTAGAAATAGTCTTCTTCTTCTGTTTGTCTTCTATATGTCACTGCTTGGATAGCTAGAAACCTGCTTATTTTTGGTTTGGGCTTCTTAGTTTACTTCCAGGGATGTGCTGTTCAAACACTCTTGTCTCAGCACAGGTTATCTCCTTCCCTGCTGAGATGGTGTTCATTAGTGGTGATGACAGTCTTTATTTTTTCAGGCAGCTTTATTGTGTTTCAATAAACACAAGCTTTATTGACAGTTTGTGTTGGTCTTTCAAAATACACCTCAGCCATCCTTTATCTAGAGGAAATAAGCCAAGTATTAAATCTCCTGTCTTGTGCACCTGCCCTTGGCTTTTATGAATCACATGACAGTCTTTATTGTTATTTTCATTGTTTTAATTCTGACCTAAAGGCAAGTTTGTTCACGTCATGACTGAGTATATCTGGTTTCCTTCAGGGCACAAAGAAGCGTCCTGGCTCGGCCTTTGAGAAGGAGGTGGAGAGTCTGGGAGCTCACCTGAGCGGGTACACCTCCCGCGAGCAAACCGCCTTCTACATAAAAGCCTTGTCCAAAGACATGCCCAAAGGTAGGATGGCCGGGGCAAAGTCTGGCTGGGAAGCTAAGTAAGTGCATGAACTTCTGTTTCTCACCCCCAAGCATCTTTTGTATCAGCAGACCAGGGACTGAAGTTGGAGCTGAGCAGTAAATTGGAGGTTCTGGTTGGTAGTTGAAGGGAGCAGTGCAGTGATGTGGTGCTTCAAGGCTGTGTGTTCATGTGCACCTAAACCAAGAGTTCCAGTTATGTCAGGCTGCACTGCATTGCCAGAAGGGAAGATGGGAGGGATTCACTGGTTTGTGGTTGTTTTATGGAGCTTAGCAGCTGAGGTCAGCGACAGCTGCTGTGGGAGCAGTCCTCGGTGCAGCTCTTGGGGGTGCTCCTCATGCTCTGTGCTGCCATGTGCTGCCTTCTCTGGGTTGGTTTTGGGCAGAGGCAGTGATTTGGGTAGGGGCCTTACTGTAGACCTGGGGTGTGCTGTGGGCATCACAAACTCTCTGTGAGGATTCAGTGTGTATCTGGAAGAGAATCTTCTTCTGACATACTTCACCTTCTGCAGATGTAGCCTGCACTCTACTGGGGTGTGCTGTGGGCATCACAAACTCTCTGTGAGGATTCAGTGTGTATCTGGAAGAGAATCTTCTTCTGACATACTTCACCTGCAGATGTAGCCTGCACTCTACTGTGAGGGTGCTTGGCAAACTGATTTGGAGACTTCTTGCTAAACCAGTGTTGTTTGTTCCTCCCAGATGCTTTGGAAATGGGTAGCACTTAGCTCTCTTATGTTGCATGCCCTCCCCCAGTATGGTTTTTGCTCACTCCTGTGTGTCTCCTTTCAGCAGCACTGGGTAGCAGTCAGGCAGTGGGATGCTAACGTAGGAATTGTGTTGCAGCTGTAGAGCTTCTGAGTGACCTTGTGCAGAACTGTGCACTGGAGGATTCTCAGATGGAGAAGGAGCGTGGCGTCATCCTTCAGGAGCTGAAGGAGTTGGACAGCAGCCTGGCAGATGTCACCTTTGATTACCTTCATGCCACTGCTTACCAGGGGACTGCACTGGCCCACACCGTTGAAGGGACCACAGAGAACATCAAGTGAGCAACAGGCTGGATGTGGTGCACAGTCTAGGGGTGCAGTCCATGGGGTGCATGACTGCTGCTTCCTGGGTGTGATGACTGCAGTGTGTACATGGAGGTGATCTGAGCCCATGGGCTTCTCCTTGTGCCCTGACTGTGTTTTCCCCATTGGCACTGGTGAAAGTGTAATGCTGCATGCATTCCTTAGAACCACCCCATGCAAGCCCTTCCTGAGGCTGGAAGGGACAGGTCGAACCTTCTTCTCAGTTTGATGGAAAAATTAGAGAGCTAGGGGTGCTAACTGAAGCAGTGGCCTTGTGTTAGCTCAGTGACTGGGTTCAGTACTCTCCAGTGTGTATTGAAGTCTATCTTTAACTCTCCATCTCGGCTGCTGGTTCCTGTTCTTTATGTTCTAGAATTAGAGCACAGGGCAAACACAGTACACAGTGCAGTCTTGCTTCTAAAAAGCATTGTTACCCTACAGCAAAGACAATCACTGCTGTCTCTGCACTGTGAACTACCTTCTTCTAAGCCTCTCGTTCCTCTAGAGTTGGAGATGCTGACATTCTGGGTCTTTGTGTCCTTTCTAGGAGGCTGACTCGAGCAGATCTGGCTTCATATATTGATACTCACTTCAGGGCACCTCGTATGGTCCTGGCAGCTGCTGGAGGTAAGTTCTAGATCCTTGTAATCCTGGGAAGCCTCAGTATTTTCAAGCGTGTGATCAGACTTGTCTCACATTACTAATTTAAATCAGATAATTTTGTTAAATTAGTCTGTTTTAAGACTGGAGATCTTTCTCTTTATTGTTGCCAGGTATTTCCCACAGAGAACTGGTAGATGCAGCTAAGCAACACTTCACTGGGGCGCCTTTTACATCCAAGGGGGATTCTGTGCCTACTCTCAAGCGCTGTCGCTTCACAGGGAGTGAGGTAAATTTGTTTTGGTCCACATCAAAATGAGCAGCTGTTGCCCAACTGTGGAATGAATGTGAAACCAATTACAGCTGCTTTTCAGTGGAAAAGTCTGTTCATGTGTCTCAGACAAGCTAATAATGCACCATCTTGGTAGTGCTCCCATGTTCTCTTCTTGGGGATTATTGCCACGTGTTGGGTTTTAGATGGGACCCAAACCCATTACGAGTGTGAGGCTGGTGTTCATATTATCTGCTGCAAAACTCACATCACCACAGCTGGTTTGTGTTCAGTTCTGCCTGAGATTCGTTCATTTCACTGGAATAACATCAAGTGCCCCAGTTTGTCAGCCTGGCATCGCAGCAGGCTGCAGACAGATCACAGTGTTGATGCAGTTCTCCCCCACTCTTTGATGATTTTCCAGATCCGTGCCAGAGATGATGCTCTGCCCCTTGCCCATATTGCTCTTGCTGTGGAGGGGCCAGGATGGGCTGATCCAGACAACGTGGTCCTCAATGTGGCTAACGCTATCATAGGGCGCTACGACCGCACTTTTGGAGGTGGGAAGGTAAGAGCCTTGGGAGTGCAACAGGGAGAGCCTGGAGCCTTTTCATGTGAAGTATTATGGATAATGTGCTTTTTTATTATGGTGGATGTGCTTTAGGAGAGGCTGTTGTGGTTAGCTTCCAACTGTGAAGGGGTTAGGAGCCTGGAAAGTAGAATAAAAGTGTAATCGAGGCTAATCCAGGACAGTTCTTGAGAGGTGATGCTGGCAAATGAACTGAACCTTTTGTGGAAGAGGTGTAGCTGGTGAATTCACAGCAGCTTATTCCCACCCTCACAACTAACACTCGATGGGGGTGGTGGTGGAAGCAGGACAGAATGCTCTACAGTCTCATGATGTAAGCTTGTCTTCCCACTGCAGAGCAAATGGAACTTGTTTAAAACCTCAGTATTGCATCCCTTATTGTCTGAAATCTGTCTGGTCTGTATATCTGTGCTAACCCCTGCTGCTGGGAGACCTTGTCCTTCTCATTTTTTTCCCACTCCTGCGGTGGTGTGCATACCAGCTTTTCATCTGCAGCTGGGAAAGGAAATGGTTCTGCTGGATGGACTCCTAGGCCATTGTCTGTGGCTTTTCCAGCAGTGATTCTCATCTGTTGACCACATGAAAACTCTAAATTAAGCTCTCCTTCAGCAAAGTGTTCCACTCTGTCCTGTCTATGGTCTTTGTGAAAACAGCTCAGTGGGAAAGAATTTGAGCTGTGAGGAAGCTGAAAATGAAATGGCTGACAGCATCTCCTTATTTACAGAATCAGTCTAGCAAGCTGGCTGCGCTTGCTGTGGAGCATAATCTCTGCCACAGTTTTGAGCCATTCAACACCTCCTACTCTGACACCGGCCTCTTCGGTTTCCATTTTGTTTCTGATCCTCTGTCCGTAGATGATATGATGTTTTGTGCTCAGGGAGAGTGGTAAGTACAACTTTGGCACAAGTTGCTGTTCAGGATCTGAGCCTCTTGTAGGAGACTGAGTTGCTGGGGGAGCATATTAAGTTTACAGAGAGCGGTGTCTCTTCATGAATTTCTTGGTAACTTGCATTCTGGTTAAGTGATCCTGTAAGTGGTTTCTGTAAATCTAAGAATGTGGCTTTTGAGGAGCTGTTTTAGTCCCTTAGGGCTCCTCTGGTCTTTTGTTCTTGCTTTCAAGTATTAGCACCGAGGCTTTGGGGCTTTTTATATACAAGTGAGATCATTCCTTAGACAAGGCTTTCCTAGGTGCCCAAGAGACTTATCTCCATTGTCTTGTTAAGCCTGGGCAAAGCAGGCAGAGTTCCTGCTGCTTGGGCTCTTGTCTTGTGGCTGATGAATGACCTGCTGCTGGAATCATGCCAGTGCTTGGAGCCTTCTGGCTGTCCGTCTTATTGCGTCCATGAACCAGTTCAAGGCTACATCTGAGCAGCAAGCCATTCTGTGTGGGGCAGGTGGAGTGAGCCCTTGCCCCAGAGACGTGGCCCTTTGGCAGGAGAAGAAGGGATGTAGCAGCTGGAGTCCAGACAGACTGTGGAGCTGTCTTGTTCTTTCAGCATCAGTTTCCATAGCAGCTTGCCATGCATGGGAATGGCTGACAGGCCTTCCCTCTCCTGTGACAGGGCAATGAACAGCGTGCTGCTGTGCCTGCTGGGCAAGCCAGAGTGAGCACCAGGGCTGCTGAACCTCTGAGTGTAACTCAGCATGTATCCTGCTGGCTGAATCCCCTGCCTGTGTGCTGGAGCTCTTGCCTCCTGCTGCTCTGTGGAGATCCAGGATGAATGTCAGCCTGCAAGACAAGCGGTGTTGATAACAGCTTATTTTTGAGGAGACTGGGGAAAGGGAGGAATTCACTTTCTGTCTGAGCAGACAAACATCTTTAAGAGCTTTTGTTGTCTTCCATGTGTTCTCCAGGATGCGTTTGTGCACTAGTACCACGGAGTCAGAAGTGACAAGAGCCAAGAACTATCTCCGAAAGGCCATGGTGGCTCAGCTGGATGGTATGTTCTGGTTTATGGATTGACCACTGTGCAGCTTTCAGAGGGTTGCTGCTTGAGGTTCTCCTGGGGAGCAGGACCTGTGTTAAAGATTGCAGTTCTGCTGGCAGGCACTCGGCAAAACTTCCTTTTCCTGCTCCACACTCCTCCATGTTGTCAAAGCTGCTGACCCCAGCCTTCTGTGCTCCCAGGAGTGACATACTGCTGGTGACCTAAGAAGTGAGACCCTCATACTGGTCTGCCTTGGCTCTAAGACTTTGGAGACGAGTAAAGAAATCTGTGCATCACATGGCTCCTGCTGGAGCTGCACAGAGTGGGAATTAGGAGTGTGCTTTGTTAGCAGAGGGTTTAATGCTTTGAGTTTCTACTCTGTGCTTTGGCTGATGATCAGGCTGCAATTCTGGAAGGCTTCTTGGTGCACTGACCATGCAATATCTTCAACATCCAGGTACCACACGAGTGTGTGAGAATATTGGAAGCCATCTCTTGCACTACGGACGCCGTATCCCTCTGGAGGAGTGGGATGCCAGGATTTCTGTAGGTATCCATTTGTTTTGGCTGGGATACCTGAGCATGGTTGGTGTCAGCGTTGTCTGGGCTTAGTCTGCTGCAGTAACATGTGGCTTGCTTACCCTTTAATCAGACTGCCTGGGGTCAGTCCAGTGGTTATCCTGCTGACACTGATGTAACTGTCAGAATCTCTGGCTTAGATACAGTGTATCCTGTGTCCCTGTGACTGGAGTCAGTCCATCCCAAAAAGAGGGCGTATGATTGTGTTAAGCAGCGCAACCTGAAATTCCTGTAGTAGTTTTCCTAGTGGTGTCCCACACCTAGTTTGTGGAATTTCTGCAGCCACTCTATTCCTTAGAAGACTTCTGATTTTGGCCTTGTCTTCTATACCCACAAGAGAATGCACTGTGTAGAAATGTTAGCCGTCCTTGCAGGCAGAGCTGGGCAGTTGGTGCAGATGGCCCCAAGGGTCTGATTGTATGTTTTAATGATCTTGATATGTAATGGCAACAGTTAGTTGCGACTTTGAGAAGTGTAGATCTGCTGGAAGAGTCATTAATTGCTTGTTTGATCTTTATTAGGCCGTTGATGCAAGAATGGTGAGAGATGTGTGCAGTAAATACATCTATGACAAATGTCCAGCAATTGCAGCAGTTGGTGAGTAGTAGGTGACAATCAGTACACACTTAAAAAACAAGGCAGGGCCGAGAGCTGAGTGGAAGTGATTTGCAGGCAGTCCTCATGTGTCTGTCCTGACTCGTTAAGCCACTCTGGTTCTTCACTGATACCCTCCTGCCTCTGCACATGAGGTGTGCCAAGGCACATTTGCCACGAGATCAGACTTGCAGGTGATGGAGATGCAGTGGCAGTGAGCTGCTGGCTGTCCTCCCACCTCTGCCTGCTGTGGAGCTGTGACTAAGACTGGGAGTCCTGTAGCTGGGTGCGGGCCCAGCACGTCTGCCAGGTGTCCTTACCCTGGGGTCAGGGTGGTTTATGTAAGGGAAGTGAAGGGACCTGATTCTCCTGTGCTGCTCTGGCATGTCTGTCTGGCCAAGGACAAATTCCTTTCGGAAAACCTGCCTAAGCAGCTCAGTTCTGCTGCCTCCTTCCTGTGTGTTGAGAATTCCCCTCCTCCTTGCAGCTGTTTCCTCTGGCCTTCAAAGTGGAGCAGGTTGGAAAAGGGAGACAGTCTTTGAGCAGGAAGTTGAAATAGTGAAATGACTTCCCTGTATTTGATACCTGTATGGGAGCTCTACTGAGCGTTGTGGGGCAGTGTGAGAAAACACCTTCTACTGTCAGGAGCTGCTATCTGCTAGTTTTCCTAATGCAGGTTTGAGTTGTAGGTGCCTGGTTTTGTGCAGAGCTGCTGTGGATTGCAAGCACAGCCTGCTCTGCCACCATCTGCTTTAAAGACCGTAAGAAACTGTGCGGGGATTTTTAACTATGTCTCGAAGTAACTTCACTCCTGTTCACTCAGGTCCCATTGAGCAGCTCTTGGACTACAACCGCATCCGCAGTGCCATGTACTGGGTCCGTCTCTAGGATGTGTTGCCTGCAGATTGGAAGTTATGAAGCTGTGGACTGTGACAGGTTCCCTCTGGCACTGAATGTCTTGGGCACCACGGGCAAGCTGAGTCCATTCAAAGCAGCTGTCTTCTCTGTGTTAAATGTGTAAAAATAAATACATCCTATGTGGAGTTGGTTCTGCTGGTAGTCAACTGTTCTTCCTGGCTGGTGTGTGTAGACATTGTTAATCTTGCCAAACTGGGGACATAGGATGTGAGGAGCTGGAGCTGTTGATAGGCAAACATCTGTCCAGAGGGGTTGTGTTATAACAACCCATATGTTTCTAGATGGAGATGTGTTACCTCTCATCTTAAGCTTCCTGGTTATCTGTAAACCAGCTCAGTAATGAGCAAAGATTATTGTCTGCTGGTGGTGTTGGACTACACATTCTTCTTTTAATCTCCATGCAGTCAGGCTCAGCTAGGCAATAACTGAGAAGCTTCCTACTGGCCTATACCCATAAGATAATCTCTAGGTCTGAGTAGTTGGAAGAACTACCCAGCCATGCCTTTTTGGTGTTAAACTGGTTGTTGCTCCGTTCTCTTGCCTCTGGGAAGTTGGAACATGGAACAGAAAGCTGAGCAAGGGGGATGGAGAGAAGTTTCCCACCAGGTGGCACTAGCCTGTCACAGCTACCCTTGGAAGCTGCAAGGTATTCTGTTAGATTTTTCTATGTGGGATAAATGTCTCTAAGGTTCTCATTTAATTTCCAGATTCTGCCCTGACAAGGGAGATTTAAAAATAGTGTGAAAGTTTCTCAGAGTTAGTCATTACACTTGAGACTAATCCAGTGTACCAAATCATTTGTGCTGAATCTGGATTCTTGATCAGAGAGTCAGTGTGTCTGAGCCCATTGCATATACAAGGCAAGTTTGAAACTGTTAAATGCTCTTGATGCAATTTGGGTTTAACTATTGTCACAAGCTCTGGCTTGTTGCAAGTGCACTGAGGGCTGAACAGCTAAACAAGCTCACTTATGCCTTCAGCCTTGTGGAACCAGTAAATGGTTCTGTCTTGATTTTGTGACTGCAATCAGACTGTAATCCTCTTATATCTTCCCTTGCTATATATTTTCCCCTCTTGGTTAATTTTCCAAAGTGTTACGCAGTTGGTGAGAAATACAAGGAAAGAGATCTTTGCTTAACATTTCCTACAAGTTTTCTTCTTTGGAGGTATCTCTTTGGGAATGTATGTTTTCCTTGAGTAATTAATTCCTCAGGCCCTTCTCCACTAGTTTATTCTAGGAACACATTCAAACCCCTCAGCAGCGGATGCTTTCCAAGGTGCTCTGTTTTTCTGGAAAAGCTGCTAGCTGTGCTGAGCCTTGCTCCCAGCACTTCAGCAAGGAGCAAGTCCTGACCAAAGGCTGCAGCTCTGCTAGGCTGCCTGGCTTATGCAGCCTTAAATGGATTTTGTAGATGCTTTTCCCATGTATAACTGTGAGTATGTGGGCTGATCTGGACAAGGAGCCATGCCCTGGTGAGTGGCACTGGATGCAGAGTCTGTTGGGTGCCTATTAAGAGTTAAGGCTGAGCTGTGCCCAGGATGTTGGCACTTTCAGGCTGCAGTTGTGGTGGCACTGTGCCTTGTAGTGCCTGTTGTGTTTGTGTGCTGTGGCAGTCCATGCCTCCAGAAACGTGAGCGTCTCACCAGCTCCAAAGATTGAGAGGTTTGCCATATTATTTTTTTTCCTTGGTAAACAACAACTGGGGATGTAAAAGGTGGGGAAGGGAAGCTCATTCAGGAGTCAAGTGTTCCTGCTTGGCAAAGACACCATGCTCTGAGCCTTATCAGGGGCTTGGGAAGTGTAACCTGGAATTGGTGCAGAGTCATTAAGCATTTGGCAGCCAAATGCTTTGATACTGGAGGAACTGAAGCTCTAATCTCATTGGCAGGTCTCTTGCTGTTGGAGCTGTATGGGGGTGTTTCTGTTCCTCCACCAGAGTAGTCTCAGTCCAAGGGAGTCCAAACTGGGAAATGTCTGGCATGACAGAAGTGTCTTATCTCAGCTTTTCCTGAACCTTGAAAAAGAGATCTTTTGCTGGACCTCTCCCCCTCCCCTCCCCTGCCCTCCCTGCAGTTTCCGCTGCCCAGTGAAGGACAGTGCCAGAGCCATCCCTAGAAGCATCCCAAGTTCACTGTAACTGGAGATGGCCTGGGTGACCTAATAAATCTGTTTCCTGGCTCCATGGACAATGCAGGATTGTTCAGTGGGCTCTTTGACCAGTTTAGTTTTCAATGGCTTAAGTGTTTTATTTTGCTACTTGGAAGGTTACTTGGGATCCCATTAGTCTGTGCTGATAAATTTAGCCTGGTATATGGATTGGCCTTTGCTCCCTCTCCTTCTGCGTGGTCTTACCCTCTCCAGATTAAGTCCCCTCTTTCAAGCTATTGTGATTGCTTTTACTCCATGACACCTTGGCATTCCATCTGTTGGCTGCTAAAGGAGAGGATTTGGAAAGGACAATACTGTGTGCTCCCTGTGCAAGGCTCTGAACTGCCCTGCACAGGACTTCAGTGGCTTGTCCCCACTACACAGAGCTATTCCAGGAATGTAAACTCTAGCAGTGAAAATGGTGAGTGCTCACTAAGAGCCCTGTGCTGAGTGCTCCATGTTGTCCTGGTCTCTGCAGGGAGAGCTGGGGTACCCCCAGTGCAGGGCTGCCGGGCCCAGCAGATGTACAGGGTGGATCTGCCTGTGGAGCAGGCAGCCCCTTTGATATGTGAGATGCTTGTTTGTGATTCGGGTGCTTGCCAAGAGAGGGGCCACAGCAGCCAATTGTCAAGAGTTGCCTCACCTGAGCTAATTACCCACCCTGGAAAGTACAGTTGATACTCATCATGGGTGCTGAGCCAAGCCTGTCCTGGGGAAGCAGGGAGCTGCAGGGAGGCTTTCACAGAAACGAGAGGCTTGGAGCTGTGCCAGTCTTTGGTGCCAGAGAGCTTTTGGGAGGAGAGCCCACAGCCCTCTGGGCCTGCTTCTCTACCTGCAGTCCTGCCAAGGCTGGTGAAAAATGGCAGTGGGAACCATAGGTGAGTGGGGTTTAGAAGACAGGGCACCAGTGTAGCTCTGTAGTGTCTTGTGTTGCTGGAGCTTTGCTCTGCTCAGACCCCTGGTGCAGGGATTGTCTGAGGTGTTGGTGTGGCTGTGACCAGGGACTTTCTCCCCCATCCAGCCCCTGTATAGTGTGGTTTGCTCAGGAAAGGGATGGGTTCTCCCTGTCATGAAGTGTCACCAGTGGGGCTGCAGGATTGCCAGGCTGAGGGAGGTACCTGGCACTTGATAGTCCTGACCAGGACTCCTGCACTTTACTGCTGAGACTTTGACCTCCAGGAGAGAGGAACAGTGAGCAGTGGTATCTGGACACATATCCAGCAATCCTGTTTCCTATTTGGAAAAGGAAATGCCTCGTGTAAAGCTTTAGTGTATTCATTGCGTGGAAAAGCGGTGGACAAAAGGCCCATCCAGGCCTGACTGCCAGCAGCAGCCATCCCGGGCTGCCGTGAGGCACGAGGCACGGCGGCAGGAGCTGCCTTTGTCTGCCCTGGTGTGCCTGGAAGGGGTGAGCTGCAGCCCTGAACACCCTCATTAAAAGCTGCTTTACCCCACACGCCATCCAAAGAGGTTGGATGGTTCTCACTTTTCCGTGCAAGTCTCTGCTTTCCTGTCTTTTCCCCTTATACATTTTCATTCCTCGGGGCTGTGAGGTTTTTAGTGAGGCTGCCAGGCTGAGGTTTGGCTTTGTTGCCCATTCAGACCATCACTGGGGATGCCCAGAAAAGCTATTTGAAGTGTGGGGTGTGGAGAAGGATCTGCCCGGGAATGGAAAATGGAGCTGCTGGGATGGCGGCCTGGGGAGCTCCCAGCCCTGATCTGTGAGAGCAAGAGGGATGTTTTTCTGTACAAAAAGGTGTCAGCAGTACCTGTGCTGGATCACCTGCCAGGTGCCCTGGAGACACTGCTCCTGCTCAGTGTCCCACCATCCACTGCTGAGCCTCTGCCACGATCTGGGGTTATTTAAGGCTCCATATCCTGCTGTAGTGTGAGAGCTGCACAGCAGAGACAGCATGAGGGCAATGAAGGAAGCTGGATTAAATGCCTGAAGCAAGGTTTGAGCAAGGTTTAAGATACTGAAACAGGCGCCTGAATATCTGAGTGCTGTTCCTGGCTCCACCAAGTGTGACATGGAGCATTCAGGTTTTTGGGACACTGGGTTAAGGTGGGTGCTGACACCAGGTGCAATGGACAGAAATAAAGCTGCTCCCCATGCAGTGCCCTCAGCACACAGTGACTCAGGTGTGCAAAGCATTTTGTAAAGCAGCCCCAGTACTGTGCACTGCTTTCTGCTTTGCATGTGACTTTTATTCCAAGTAGGCACTTGGATAATGCTCCAAAGCGAACGTGCTGCTTATCTTTGATTTGTTATATTTAGGGAAGAATGAGTTGGCTCTTCTGGAGGGGATTTTTTTCTTCCTCATTTGAATGTTTAATCTAGGGAACTACAGTAATGTTTCCTCAAGATTTAGCAGTGGATGTATTTCAGCTTCAGGAAAGTGCACTCTGAGTTTATCGGGGTGCACTGTAGAGCTCAGCATTGTGCAGATTCCTGTGTACCAAACCCATGGCCCCCAGTTCAGGTCGTGTCACTCTTGAGCAAAGCTCGGTGTGATGGAGAGACAGGCTGGGTGCTACCCATGGAACATCGAGGGTGGGGTTTCCAGGTAGGGATAACTGCCCGTGCCAGGGGGTCTCTCACAGCAAGCTTGGTGAAGAGTGGCTCTAGGAGCTGGAGCAGCATGTGCCTGTGGCAAGTTCCTGCCTCTGCTCCCCTGGCACGAAGGATGCCCTGGCACACCAAGAGGCTGTCAGGGGGGGGAGATGGCAGGTGAGTGTGCTTGAGTCCTGGGCATCCCAGCTCCACGTGGCAGTTCTGCTTTTTGCACCCCTTCCCCCCGCTGGCTGCTGCGAGGCTGGAGGTCCCTGCTGCCCCTGGCTGCTGTCCACTCTGGTTCTGCGGCTTCCCCTGCTTTGTTTACTGCTGTTCCAGATGTGCAGCACTTGGCAGGAGCCCCTATGACGTGGGAACACAAGTATCTCCTGTTCCTGCCTCGCACGCGCAGCAGTGACTCA